TCTCTCCCTCCCTCCCTCCCTCCCTCCCTCCCTCCCTCCTTTCTTGAGACAGGGTTTCTCTGTGAAAGCTGTGTTGGAATTCACTCTATAGTCCAGACTGGCCTCAAACTCACAGAGATCCACCTGCCCCTGCCTCCCAAGTGCCGGGATTAAAGGTGTGTGCCACCATCACTTGGCACCAAGTGTCATTTTCTAAAGAACAAATTCTAAGGTTTAAGAAAAACATAGGGGGCTGGAGAGATGGCTCAGTGGTTAAGAGCATTGCCTGCTCTTCCAAAGGTTCTGAGTTCAATTCCCGGCAACCACATGGTGGAAGAGCAACCAGTGCCCTTAACCCCTCTGAGGCACTGGTTGCTTTTCCAGAGGTCCTGAGTTCAATTCCCAGCAACCACATGGAGGCTCATAACTATCTAGAATGAGATCTGGTGCCCTCTTCTGGCATTCAGGCATACGGCCAGACAGAACACTGATTTCTAATTCACACAGATGTATGTGAGTGTCTGAGAATACGTGTGTGCAAGTGCCTGCTGAGGCGGAACAGGGCACTGGGCTCCCTGAGCCTGCCATCCTAGGAACTTGTGAGCCACCCGACACGGATGCTGGGAAAAGAGCCTGGGTCCTCTGTCAAAACAGCAAGGGCTCTCATCCACTGAGCCATCTTTCCAGCCCCTAACTTTTTAAAATAGGACTTAAACCGTCTATAGGAGAACCCAGGAATTAAGGCCAAGTAATTATGTTCTTGCCCAATGGGTCGAAGGAAAACAGAATGAATAATTCCTAGCACTTAGTTATGGAAAACCAGTCACTCCTCAACAACCCACAACAAATGGTACTTCGTGGGAAAGGGCAGGTGGGTGGAACCCTCGAGGAACGCTTTCAAGCCAATTTTCTGCGCTTTGAACCTCAGGGCTGGAAAGCACAAGCCCTGAATGCCGGCGCAGAGATGCAGGGGTGGGCTCTGCAGGTGTCCACTGGGAACAGAACCAGAGAGCAGGAGCACAGCAGCCAGGGAGCAGTGATGCTGGTACAGAAGGAAGGCTCTGTCCCCAAGTCCATGGCCAAACGGAGGAGCAGAATGGGTTTCTAAAAGGTTTAGGATGCTGGGGCTGCCAGAGGGAATGGAGGGAATGTGGTTTCCCACAAGTTATTCTATTCTCCAAAGTTACCAAGGGCCACATATGCCAAGGCTGAGAGCCATGTTCCTGCCTGAGGACGAGGTAAAGGGCCTGCAGAGGCCCCACGCTGACTCCCTGAGCAAAATGAATATGGCAGTGGGGACAAAGGGGACAAAGACAGAGAGGTCAGGTTCAGGGCACAAGTGGAAGCAGCAAAGACCAAGATGAGCTCCCAGCTGTGCGGGACTCTGAACTCCCCTGACAACACTGGCAACCCACCAGAGCCCAGAAAAACACACCCAGAATGCCATTCCAAAGAATGTTGCCTGGAGGTCTCACCCAGGCACCCCAGGAAATGCCCAAGGCCTTGGGAACAAGGATGCAGGGAAACCGCTTACAGCAGGGCAAGGGCTCAGAAGTGTGCACGCCCCCAGGATACTCCTGCTTACAGCAGGGAAACACACACACACACACACACACACACACACACACACACACGAGCTCAGAAGTGTGCATGCCCCCAGAGTACTCCTGCTTACAGTGGGACACCCACACCCACACCCCCCCCACACGCTCAGAAGTGCGCATGCCCCCAGGGTACTCCTGCTTACAGTGGGACACACACACAAGCTCAGAAGTGTGCAAGCTCCCAGGGTACTCACCCACTAATTCCTGGGGATCCCGCTTCTCTGCTTCTGTATTATCCTGTGGAGACAAAGAAGCACACAACGGTAAGGCTGGGCTCCCGGGCCATAGCCACTCTCGTCACCAAGACACCCGGGCTCCTTGTGGATACTAAAGGGGGAAAGAGCTGCCAGCATGCGAACTGTGAGCAGTGTTTCAAGGCTCCTGGAACCCAGGGCTCTGACCACTTCTCCCCTATCACAGCAGCTGGGAGCTCCATGACCCCCAGGAGGGACCAGCACTGAGCCATGTTGCTGAGAGCCATAGCAGTGACCATGGCCCTGCTACCTATGTGACCTGTTCCCTGCCCCTGGCTCCCCTGGGTTGGGAGAGCTTATCCGAACACATCACTAAGGACGGCTATAAGGGGAACCCCTTGGGTCACCCAACTCCCAAGAACGGTCTCCTGGGAGTTTTTTTTTTTTTTTTAATTTCACTCCAAACGAACAGGGCAGACTTTATTATGAACACTAAGGGGCCACTCAAAGCCCCCTTTAGTGACTAAATGAGGTTCCCAAAGGCCCTGGCTCTCCTTGACTCACTTCTTATACTGGTTTTATATTCTGCCAAAGAAATACATACATACATACATACACACACACACACACACACACACACACACAATTTTACACTAAAAATAAAAGTCTTAGTTCGCTGCTTCGCCTAACCAAACCATGGCTGGGAGGGTGACAGCTAGGCTACAAGTTTATGGCAGAGCAGGAAGGCTCTTGCCTCTGCTGACCCAAATGTCCTCGAACTCAGTAAGATTACTTCAATGTAACAAGGTTAGTGATCAAAATGGCAGAGGAGGAGTTCACGAAAGGTGTCAGATCTAGTTTCCGCCCCTTCCTGGTGAGAGAGGAGGTAAGACAGTAAGGTTCTGCAACAGGACCTACACGTGTGAGCAGCTGCAGAGCTGGGCTCTGGCATCGAGGAAGGAAGGGAAGGGGTGTAAAGGGTCCAAACGCCCTCCAAGTCAGCCATGGCCCTGTGACAAGATCAGACCCTCTACCTTCTTCCCCCTGATTCTGAGAGAGACCCCAATCACCTCTTCTCTGAACACTGAGACTATTCATTAAAACTGCCCTTGTAGTTTTAACAAGGTTGAAGCCAGGCTGCCTAGCAACCTGTTCCTTCACCATCCACTTCTTGCCAATCAGGTGGGCAAAGCGGGGCTGGGAGGCAGGCCTGGAGGGCTGCCACATCAAGTTCAGGTTGGAGTCATAAATCAACCGCTGTTCAGACAGTGCCAACGTTTCTGGGACCAACAACAGCTCCTTTGTAGCAGCAACGGAGGATTCGACATTAATGAGCATTTCAGTGAGCGGGCGCAGTACTAAAATTCCCTGTGTTTTTCCACTAGGAGACAGCGTCCTGGACGTTGTCCGTAGGACACCACCAGCTGGAGCTCCTGCCTTCCCCTGCAGACAGGCCGACACAGGGGAGTCTCCAGAGTCACTAGAATGCTAATACGGTATCTAATCAAGAGTGACAGGAAGTGGGTCATATCTTTTTAAAGGGTCTGGCTAGCCTAGCTGTGCTTGCTCAGTCCTGTCTCTGGGAGAAAAGATACAATGCTGTTAACAAAGGAAACTCATAGTCAGGAGCAGATTTTTCCTCTCTTGGTCCTGTGATCTATGGCTTGCAGCCTCAGCCTTTCTAAATTCATCTCTCTACCCAGCTCAGAGCTCGGAGTTACTGCATCACTTGTTCTCTGATGGAGACAGGTCCAGACATCCACGGCATGAAGGAAAGTGATGTGGAAAAGGGGACCAGTGAAGATGGAGCTCTAAAGTTCAGTGGCAGAGCGCTTGCCTAGCATACACAAACTGGAGTTTGGTCCCCAGCACTGCAAAGACAAGTAAGCAGTCAAATCCCCCACCCTGCACTGCTCCAAAGTCAGAACAATTCACAACAGATCATCTTCGAGGTAAGTTTAGTACAACGACTCCCATGGTACTGTGCAATGACCCATAAGAGCCCTAGCCACCGGTGGTGGGGTGAGCAGAACTGGGGAGGGATGGGTGTCACACCAAAGCAACGGTCCAGAGAGACAGCCTCCCACCAGCCTCGGCAGATGCTAAGAGTTCTGTGTGAATCTGAACCCAGCACCCAGGAACTATGATGATGCTGGCCATAGCACTGGGGTACAAGTGAGGAAGTCAGGGAAACACCAAACTACAAACGGCACACCCCGCCCCCCAGCACTACAAATCTGCCCTGGAAGAGACTCATCAAAAGGGGGAGTTGTGAGAACACAGGACACAAGACTCCTCTGTTCTCCTTTCCTTCCCCTAGAGCAGTGTTTCCAAATGCCCAGGGCATACTTGTTAGAACTATATAGCTCTCTCCCCCGGCTCACAATTAGCTAAAGTTAACTTAGACTGCCAGAGCTGGTCACCAGACGGTTGTCTGTATCAGCTGGGGGACCTGGAAGCTGGCAGAGACAAGAAGCCCCTCAGCCTCAGGGCTCTCTTGGCAGAGGGGAGGGGAGGGAGATGAGGATAGCAGCCCGTGGAAAGGGAGAGCGGCTCTGGACTTGATTTTTTTTTTTACTTGTTTTGAATTCAATGAAGAAACAAGAAATACACAGTAAAACCCAATCCCACAGCTTTCCAAGTGAAGCTAAAGGAGAAAGGGAAGAGATGACCAGGGCTCACACGCTGAGCGTGTGTAGGCACGGTAGCACAGGCATGTGATTCCAGCATTCAGGAGGCTGAAGCAGGTCGACTTCAAATTGTAGGGTCAGCTTGGGCTTCCTAACAACATCCTTGCCTCAAATCAAAACAAAAACAAGAGCCCAGTGTGGTAGTACACACCTGGGAGTCTGAGGCAAGCAGGCAGGCAGGGTTAAATAATAAGACCCAGTCCAGAGTCTCAACAAAGAATAGTGGGACACGTTTTAATTCCAGCACCTGGGAGGCAGAGGCAGGTGGGTATTTGTGAGTTCAAGATCAGTCAGGATTACACAGAGATAGTGAGTGAGACCCTGTCTCAAAAAGACAAATAGGGAGTGGGAGGGAGAGACCGACCAGCCATTCGGAGGTGAGGACCCCTTTGTACCCCCCTTCCTCTCTCTGCACTTTCCCCTGAAGCTAATGTCTCCACAGCCACAGCATGAAGTGGCTGCGGGGCTGGGAAACAGTGTTATGAAGCTGCCCGTTTGGTCCCCCCGCCAATAATTGTGATTGACACTAGCAGGTCAGTGACAGAAGCCTTGCTGTCACAGCAATTACAGACCATAGAATGTGGCTCCCATGCAGAGATTACCAAAGTCTGGTCTGAGCTGACAGGCAGAGGGAGGAAGAACCATGGAGCAGGAGAAACTGCCAGGTGAGCTGAGAGAAGTTAGGCAGTGAGGAGCAGCAGGTTCTGGGGGACGGCCTCCATCGACCCTTCTGGGAAGCAGCCCCACAAGGCATCACCCCAGAGACAACTCGAGTCACAACACACAGGCTACGGCACCGTACTCTGCCAGCTAACATGCCATGCTTTCTTCCAGGCCTCGGGAGCATTAGGTGTAGAGGAGGCACACCAGGCAGGGCACAGGGCAGCGTGCAAGGTGCAGGGCAAGCGTACTGCACACTAGATGTTCCCGCTGGACAGTGAAACCTGGCACTCGGGGAGAAAGACCGAGGAAGGAGCATCTCCCACCTTATTCTTGCGGACTGTGACAGCCCTTGAAGTTACCAAGTCCTAATATGCCATCTTATGTATTGAGCAGAGTTTACTCAAAACAACAAAAAAAGGAATTAATTCTTAAAGCCAGGTGTGGTGGCTCACACCTATAATCTCAGTACTGAGGAGGCAGAGGCAGTTGGATTGCCAGTCTAGGCTGACCAAACAACACCAAAATCTCTCCCCCACAAAGAATCTTCACCATAGCCCCCAGGCTCTACCCAAGGTTTCAGCCCCTCACCCCTTTTTAATTTTTTGAGACAGGGTTTCTATGTGTAGCCCCAGCGTCCTGGAACTCGCTCTTATACACCAGGCTGGCCTCGAACTCACAGAGATCAGCTTGCCTCTGCCTCCCGAGTGCTAGGATTAAAGGTGTGTGTGTGCCACCACCGCCTGGCCTTCCTCCTCCCCTTTCTACAGGCGGCCTGCTCTTTGCCCTCTCTGATCTAGAAGATGCAGTAAAGTGGAATTGAAAACCTTACTTCTTGCTCGACACCTTTTCTGCCTGTCTTGAGACAGGGTCCTGCCTATGTAGTCCAGAGTTTCTGAACTTGTGGACCGTCCTGCCTCACATCTCTGGAGTGCTGAGGTGCAGGCCTGTACCTCCGTACCCAGCCCTACAGCCTCTTTCTTGCCATTCACCCGAATGCTCTTAAATCCTGAGACAAAGGGGGGAAAAACGCACAATTAAGCTGGGTGTGGCGGCACTTGCCAGAAGTCCCACCTACACTGAGAGGCTGGTCACTTGCTCAGGAGTGAGGCCAGTCTAGGTAACTAGCAAAATCCTGCCTCAAAATAAACATACAAATAAAGACCAAATCCACAAACAACAAGACAATTGCTGACAGCTAGCTCACTTACGCATTCTATAAATAATCTGCTGAAGATTTATTATGTCACAGACAAAGGGCTAAGCACCGAGGCTGAAATAAGAAAATTTAATCCCAGGGAACAATTTTCGGTTTTATGTTAAGTCCTTTAACGAATGATCTCATTAGCCCAGCAAAGTATGTTCTGAACTACAAGCTCACACTGCTCTCCAGGACAGATACATCACCTCAGGAACCCTCCCTGAGGGCATCAGAATGGCCACCGGCAGGGCTCTCTGTCTGTGTGGGGCACACACCTGTAATCACACTTGGGAGGCAGAGGCAAGAGAGCCAGGAATTCAAGGCCAATCTGAGCTGCAAGAGGCCTTGTCTCAATCCTCTCCCTACTCCTCCCTGAACAGCTCCCCCCCAATGCCACGAATGGGGTACGCAGAGGACAGCCTGGCGACTTATGAAGTCACAACAGTCCGTGCCGTGTGGGAACATAACCCACGTGGTGGTCCAGAGGCCGGC